TTGTGGCCTGACCAATCAAATTAATTATATTTACAAATTAATCCATTCATAGTAACCCTGTTGCCTAGTTCCAACCACCGATCCAAAGGATAAAGATTACCAAGTTGGATTCGTTTCCTCGGCAGTATTTGGCTTTTCCGTGAAAACATATTTGTTTATGAGACAACTGAACAGAACGACTTGCAAAACTTTTATTGGTATTATTTAAAATAAAGTCCTAAGAAGAAGGTTATACCTACTATAAAGCAAATAGGGCCTAAGCAAAAGCAGATTAAAATCGTGATACATAATAATGTCGGGACCTGGCTGTTGAAGTGATGGGACCTGGTGGTAGGAAAGAGTCCAGGGCCTAAACGGGAAACTTTCAAGAGTGCTAGACTCGCTGGAGGGCTTCAAAAATCAAAATGGTCTAATTTTCTACGTTTTTATAGTAATCAAACATTTACTCTCTCTTGATTTCAATTCAACTAGGTTGGGACATTAACAAGAGAGAGTGAAGTATAGGCTCGAAATAAAAACATTGAACGGTTCAATACTGATTGTAACAACAGGGACCACGGGACATATATTTGGTTCATAGAGTTTACAGACTGGAACACGATGTTATTTTACAGCATGTATCCCCCCTTTCCCTATGAAAAAATTTAACACAGCACAAAACTTAAAAAGTAATTTATTACAGAGAGATAGAATTAATCGCTGGTCCTTTCGAGAAAAACAAACTGAAGCATAGCAAAATCAGACTCATGGCAATATATTTGTCGTGACCTTTCTTGAAAGGGCGGCAAATGAGTGCAAATAGTTGTTATATTTGAAAACACATTATTATAATGACTGCATTGTCCCAATTAAAGAAAATTATCCAGATATCAGTGTTGTATTGAACTGCAAAAACAAAAACAATATCGTTCCTAATTTCTTGACACGAAAAACAACTACACACGGGATAAGTAATGTGCGAATTTTAACTATTGAACTGAATTAGTTGATTGTCTTCTTATTATGCAATCGATGCATACAAAACAACCATTCAGATCCTTGTAATGAGAAGAAAAATGCCGGAGACTGGTATGGCCTGACTTTCTCCGTCAGCACTAGGGGACTGGTAATGAGGATTTCAAGAAGGCTAATAGCCTTCCCCCTTAAAAATTGTAATCAAACTTTAGCAAATCACAAATGAAAATGTTTGACAAATTTGCACTTAAATTGCGTTAAAAATAAAATACCTTTAATCACAATTTTCACAATTATATAGCACTTCTCTCTCAAAACTACATGGCCCATTTTCTTAGAGCGAGATAAACGACAGGCCTATTTGACCGAACCGACCAGTCTCTTTTGAGTAGGCCAGTCTCTGGACAGTTCAATAGTTTTAAGGCACACTCACGGTGAACAGAGTTAGGAATTGAGAACTTAAGATATAAGGGCGCTTTTTCTAATAGAAAAAGTCTCAAATATTCGAAATCTGTTTAAAACCCTTGCATGACCTTCTTCACAAGCTAAAACAAAATCCTATTCCTTATCTAGCAGCAGACGATCTTAATATAGTAGGGACTTACAAATACAGTACACAAATGCATTTTAAAAAGATCAAAGTCGGAAGGATCAATAAAGGGCTTGTTCAGTTTCGTGTCTCGAGGTTTGGTGACATTTTGTTTAAAACACAAGTAGCCTGGTTAATAAACTCTCTTAATAATTTATGCTCATAATAATCGTATTTTGAGCTTACTAATTTTCGTGATGTAAACAACCTAACGGCAGATTTGTGGATTTAATTTGACGCTCTAAAGACTGACGTGATGAATAGTGTGGCAGGCAACTTTTTGCATTTCTTGAGTACGACGAGTATCATTCAAGGTTGCATCGAATTTGCAAAACGTTTGCTGATTATCACGCCCGACGTAACTTGATACACAAAAACAAAAGTTGCCCTTATGTTTTGAAAGATGTATCTTTATCTAATTATCATAGTAGTATGCAAAGATGAGTATAGGTTTTTCAGAAAACGAAAAATTGTATAGGTTTAGCACAGCAAGCGCAATAACACGCCACACTTTACGGAAACCCCACAATGTTTGTAGTAAGCAATATTCAACTATATTTTTAACACCTTGGGTACCCTTCTATCAGTCCTTTAGTACTACTGTTTGCGATTTGTGACGGCCAATGGGCAGCCATGCCCTAGGTAGCCAGCCAACACTCAACAAATATCACGTACACCTTTGGGGAAAATCCTTTTGTTTTCGAGAAAAATCCTTCGAGAAAATGATCCCAGTTCATTTTTCTTAGTTCATTTTTTTGTGCTTTATTCCTGAGCAGTTTATGCTAGTTTGGAGAAGGTTTTCGCCCGGTTTTCGAGAACTGCTGGACAATTATTCCAGAAACGCTGCAGAAGTAAAATTTAGTACGGGGGTTGCTGCGTACACTAAAAAGCCATACGCAGACTGCCTATTACAAACCTATCAGTAAAATGAACACAAGCAACAAAGCCACTTTCCCACACCTTTCAGATGTCGATGTGATAAAAACTAAGCCCGGTATACATAGAGTTCTGAGGGCTGATTAAATAATTTTAGCAGAAAATTTTTTTCTGAATCATGTCATGCATATTTTAGGGGCGGAGATAAATGAACAGAACTAAACCCAAATAAACACTACTCTTGTTTGTTGAATCATTGTATAGACAAATAGTTTATTGAGATGTGAGTCATGCATGCAGGTGGCAACAAGGAAAATCGAGAAAAAATCTTAATTAAATAAATTAGCTCTAGAACAAAGAGCCTGCTGGGGAGATGAGCAAGCCAAAAATTCTTTTATTCAGTGAGTGTAAAAGGGAGATTTTTAAGTGATGACGTCACAAAACAAAGTTAAAGTATTGAAATTGGAAAAAATAACCTGACGAGGACAATATAATACTTCTAGATGTGAAAAATTAGTTCAATTTGTTACAAATCCTTAAGCCAATATCAATGTGACAATATTGAAGTACAGACCCCAATCCAATATCGATGTCATATTCTTTCTGATAATACTGTAAAATTTAACTGGCGCATACGTAATCCTATGGCTAGTACCAATAAAATCCTAATCCTATGGCTAGTACCTTTCCAAGAAAAAACCCAAGAACCAAACCACCAATGGTTGCCTTAGGTGAATTTTTAATATTAAAGAAGTATGACTATAAGGGGAAAAGACTTGTAAGAAGCATTGAAAGGACGATAAATTATATAGTGACCTTCAAAGAAAGGTTCTCAAAGTATCATTAGAAAAATACACCATTGACAGTTAATTGAGGCTTGGGTGTGTGCAAAAAGTGATTTAGGAACAATTGACACGGAAGTTGCGGGAATATTTTCTTTGCATGCAAACAAGAGGGAAAAGACAACACAAAAGCCTTGGAGTTATAAGAAAATTACACAAGTTGATCGCAAAAGAAATAAAAAAGAATGAAGAGCTGGAAAGTATCGCCATGACATTGGTTGTTGAAGTCTTGAAAATGAATGAGGGACTTCTTCTGTTTGCAATGAGATCAAAAGAGCTGAAAATTTAACTCTGTTTTAATATTTAATCGAGCTGCTAGCTTGCATTCTACAGGAAAAGGATTTTATTACTATCTCTTGTATTGTAATCACGATCTAAAATATGTTTCTTTTAATTCAAAGCGTCGATTTAGGATATTTTTATAGCGCGATCCGACATTTCTTAATCAATAACAAAATCTTCATTCTAAAGAGTCTGAGTCTCTGAAACACCCTGCTTGAAGACAAACTTTTCTCATTTTCGACTGAATTAACATCTGAGAATCACTGTGCGCAGCTTTAGTCTTTGGTTACAGATAGAAAAATAAAACATCTGTTGTATATTTACGTAACTAATAAACAGAGATAACGAGGGCCTGTCTCAGGACACATCTGATTGCGAAAAGCTTAGGAGAAAACGATTTTTTCAGTCTCCAAAAGTCAGGATTCTATTTTTTAATGCCGACAAATTCGAAAACGCCTCAATGGAAAGACGACCTAACGTGGCTACAGTTCTCACAATACACAGCATGCTGAATACAGCCCACAGCCAGCAGACGTTCAAAGCCTCGGCAAATATAGGAAGATTTTGCAAAAAAACTTAGCAGATTTTTCCTTCATAATGGAATAACAAATGCAAAGCCAACCATCTTACGAGAGTGCTTCTAAGCTCCATAATTTACATTATTTTCTTTATTTCTTCTTTTCCTTCTCTTTTTCAAATCCTCAAACCTTTTTTCCTTTTCGATTATGTTTTCAACAACTCAATGAAAAATGGGTTTGTAGCAGTCGCCTTTTGGTGCCAAAATCGTATTTAATGTACAGAGCCAAGATTCTAATTTCTATATTTTCCCTTTTTAGGAAAAAATGTGAAGTATTAGAACACAGCTCAAAAACGTTTTCGACTATCCTTTGGCCAATAACCGTTCTGGTGCCAAAACCGTATTTAATGTACAGAGCCAAGATTCTAATCTCTATATACTATTTTTAGGAAAAATTGTGAAATATTAGAACACAGCTCTAAAACCTTTTTAGACTTTCCTTTGGCCAATAACCGTTAAAAAACAAGTTGAAAGCCATGACTACAAAGCAAAATACAGCTGCAGTAGCCAAATCTCTTTCGCTTTCAACAACTTTCCTCTAGTGAGTGATCGCCCGTTATTTTACTACACCGGACCGAAGCAGTGGTCCCTCAAGTGTCCCTTGTAAAGTCGAGCTGTAACTTTCTTTTAAGCTACTGATTTTAAATAAATCATTTACAAATATACAGCCATGTGCTCGCGTTTATGATTGGCCTATTTCAATCCACAACTGGGTATATATTTTTCCTAGCGTAGTGTGTTCGATCTATGTTCTGACGTTTTATACTCTGAACCTGAAGAGTGTCAGGCAAAAAGTTTTAGCATGTTTCAGGACGTTTGCATCTTTCAAAGCCATTTTTGGTTTTAAATACGCTGATGTGAATAAGACGTCAGTACTCACCGAAATGCTGTCAGCTCTGCTATTTAGCACGGCTTTATGCATCGCGGTCATGCCATCAGCAGAACGGTAATCAAGTTGGGCACCAAAATTGACCAGCATCATGCAGGCTTCGAACGAATTCGGCAGCATAATCATTGCTGTAAGAGGCGTTTCTGCAATAGGAGAAGAACGTGTTCAGTCTAAACGTTGTCAATGAAATAGTGCCATGCTGCAGCGAAGCGAGGGGAGGAAAGAGGGGCAACGCCCCCTCAAATGATAAAACATCTCTTCGAAAATGGCGTTTTCAGGCGTTCAAAAGGGTGTGAGCCCCTGTTTTTCTGTCGCTAAAATCACCTCTGCCCCCCCTCAGTCTTACCCCCTGGCTACGCTACTGGTGCCATGGTACAAAAAGTGTTTGCTTTTTAAGATTATTGTTTAAGTCTTTGTTAAGTCTAAACGTTGTCAAGGAAATAGTGCCATGCTGCAGCGAAGCGAGGGGAGGCAAGAGGGGCAACGCCCCCTCAAATGATAAAACATCTCTTCGAAAATGGCGTTTTCAGGCGTTCAAAAGGGTGTGAGCCCCTATTTTTCTCTCGCTAAACTCGCCTTTGCCCCCCTCAGTCTTACCCCCCCTGGCTACGCTACTGGTGCCATGGTACAAAAAGTGTTTGCTTTATAAGGTTATTGTTAAAGTCTTAGTTAAGTGCCGTACATAGCCACAACCAGACGACGTCATGTCCGTTTCTGCTATGGACGGCACGGAAAATTGTATTTCATTTTCCTTTTAAACAGTGATGTCTGTTCTAAGCAGCTAATTTCAAATTGAAAACATTTACTCTCTGTCACGTATTCTAAATCCCTGTTCACCAATGCTGATAACAGCTTTACAATTTCAAATAATTAGAAAACTACTGCAATGAAGCAATATTATTGGCTTGATATTCCAGATCACATACCTCCAGTGTATTCATTTTGAAAATTTGGATCAAGCCCTTTTTCAAGAAACTTTTTCGATTTTTCTGTGTTTCCTGTCATTAGACATTCAAAGAACTTCTTTTGGTAGCTCTAGAGGAAAAACATATTGGTCAGTTGTGGATGGTAACGGAGAGTAGGAAAGCGAAATCAAATCGAGACTAGGAGATTATAGACATGACCGCAACGCTTCTAAAAGAGGCAAGCAAGATGGCCTAATTCCCTAAGAATGAGGGAAAATAAAGAAAACTGGGGTATGGAGTTGAATTATCACAAGAAGTCCTCGTGGACTCACATGGGCTTTATTCCCAAACGTCTCTGTGCAGGAGCAGCAATAAAAGGGAGCTTTTCCTCCACAGTAGACATTTTGAAATGAAGCCCGCGAACGAAAATTAAAAAGAAGACTTGTTGCAAATCAAGATTCGGAGGGGAGAAACGAATGGTGAATGGTTCTAAATCGGAAAAGGAATCAATAGGTGACACAGAAAAGGAACATATTAGATAGTACATCCACAAATTATAATCTGTACTAGGGGGAAACTATGGAATTAGGATTCAAAGGAAAACAGAATACTATAGCCATTTTGTTTTAGCTGTTAATTACGGCGTAAAAGCTTTTCTGTTAAGGGATAAAGGCAGACTTCGATATGATCTCCTCTTCACTTCTAGCTGCGGATAATCTAAACAAAAACCATTCAAGGCTTAAAGAGCATAAAAGCTTGCTAAAAAGGCTCTTCCTAAAAAGGTTAAAGCTCGTATTATGGCTAAGCCACAAACAGTTTGACATCCTAAAACGTATACATTTCTCTTCATTAAAGATAACCCATTTAGCAAAGAAAAATAAGCAACAAAGTATCTTTTATGGCATGTGAAAATCCAATTCTAGCAGGATTTGAATGCACAAAGGAAAATGTCTTATTCAATTGTAGGTCTTTATTTCCTTTTTAAAAATAGCTCTAGGCTAAAACAGCTTTTTATTAAGCAGGGTATTAACAGCTTTAAGTCAGTGCCAGAATTGGACAAGGTGTGACACTATTAATGTTACCTTTGACTGGTACTTTTGCAGCTTTTTCTCGTCCATGTTCAGTGCACGATAAATTCGTCTCTTGTAGCGGAACTGCGGGAAAAAGAGAGTGGGTATTGAATATCATACGGCTTTAAAGAGATTGTTTGCCCGCCCTTTGATAGCAGACGAGCACATTTCTTTCGATGACAGGGGAGATTCATGAAATCGAGATTTGAAATGACAAGTTCAGAACACATACAAATACAGGGTTAAATTGTTGGATTGAATTGGTTTCCTGGTTGATAGCAAACTTTAAGTCTGGCCTTCTCTCGCGATGCAACTAAACATTTTCATTCCAATATTTGGACTTACAGCGCCATGACGCGTCTTCTTATTTCAATAATCTGGTCTCCTAATTTCAGAAATGTTTAGAGGCTAAGGTCACTGAAACTTGAGCTCAACTTTTGCCCTCTTTGCGCCCAGCAAAAGAAATGTGAACCCTCACGTAGGTCTAAATCTTTTATTGCTCACGAAAAACGCCAATTTTTAATTATCTCAAACACAACTGAAACTTGAAAATGGTCGCATTGTTATGATTTGTAACTTGAATAGCTGAATGCAACGATTTTGTATAATAATTCAAACGTTAAGAGAATCTCTCCGTGACTCACGACATCTTAGAGACTATGAGTCTTGCCCTTTCTGAAACTTAACCTTCATTCTTTTGTCAGCTTTATGAAGTAAGATTCTGGAACCAACAATAATAAAAACAGAAGGATATAGCTGCTCGAGAAGGATATTTAATTGATTTCAAAATGCCAGATTGTTCAGTATAAGAGATTTTAGAATCCGCTGTCCATCTTTCGTTTGATATTTGCCGGTCGTGTAATAATTCTTAAAATGATAATTTTGAACTAGATACGGTATTACCTTAATTGATAAATTTATCATTTTCTACATTTAATAGACTTTGTTTTATCAAGAAGCTGAAAAACAACGTTTTGAGTGCTGTTTTTTCTAGGTCACCTAATGTAGGTTAACAAAAGTTTCTTATCTATTATATCTTAAAAAGAAATGCACTGAATGGGTGACATCAAGTTCGGCGCTCTTTTTACGCTTTTGCGCTATCGGTATAGCAAAGAAAATCGCGCAAAGGAAGATAATTGCTTAAGGGAAACGTAAACTTGGACACTTTTCAGAGAAACTAAGGGTAAGTTGTATAGCAAACGATCACAGTCATGTTTGAGAGTGGGGACCTGAAGCGAATCCCTGTCAGGAAATATGAGAAAGATAGGTGCGAGGATGGCTCAGTTGTTAGAGGCGCTGACTACAGACCCAAGGGTCCGTTGTTCGAGTCTCTGGCATGACCAAACTTTCACCCAGAGTGGGGAGAATCGCCAGCTATCTGTAATTCCAGGCGTAGGAATCACGAGGTGTGGTCACATTTAGAGGAAGGGCCAGGACAGTGCTCGATAAGCATAGCTTCTCAGTGTCCTAAAAACTACCTTCGGATGCTAGGTAGCAACAAATACAAATACAAGAAAAAATGGCCTATTTAAAAAAATAGTACCCATCTGTCCATCCCAACATATTAGCCTGATGAAGTCCCCACCATTTTAGAAGGGGTGGGGGCTTATTCGAGAATTGGAGCTTTTTGATATATTTTACTTGCAGTGGTAGGACTGATGCGGGACTTGGAGATTTGCAGAATTTATTATTTATCAAATCTTAAACATTACATCTTGCCGTATTAAGTGACCTTTAAAATGTTAGGGCTTTTTGACATATCATGTCAGAAAGAAACCTGTTTGATTTTTGAGCAATTTGGTGAAAACGTGTCTACATAAAAGGGAAAACAAAATTTTATTCCACGGTTGATAAATGGGAATTTCTAAACTTATTAAGATTATTTCTCCCACCTAATCACCGCATTCCCAGCTTTTATCATAGTTAATATAACATTTCTTAAAACACATACAACCATACGCAAAGGATTATCAACATGAATTAATCTTGGGTTTACAGAATCCTAGATGCAAAACCTACTTGCAGCTGATTTTTACAAAAACGATTTGCGGTTTTTTTACTAGAAATGAATATAGAGGCCGCAAGATAGCCGGGCTTTCGTTCTTCTACTGGGTCATTAAAGCAGGTTAGGGCTGCCGAGTTCTGACAAGCAGCACCATCGTCCCTGGGATGACGGGGTATACGTTGTGTTTAGTTTCCTTGATCTTAAAAGTCTTTCTCAGAAAAGCATTTAAAGGACAAAAAAATCCTCGTTTTGTGATGAAATTTCTAAGGTGTTTCACAACATTGGTTGAAATCACATTTTACCGCAGCTCAGTCTTTGCTTCTTCTTAACTTTTTCTCAACTATTGGCCAATTTTAAGACTCGTGATTTATAATCGAATGATTTCTGGACTCTGGTGAAGGGATGTTATTTTCGTTCCAAGCCAGTCTGTGGCATGATCGTTTAGACAGGCACCAAGCAAAAAATATCAAGAGTTTCGGCTTTAAAAAGACAAAAGAAAGGAAACCAACCTCCAAGTGTTCACCATAGCTTTCAGCTGGGTAGTCCCGGAGAGGACGTTCTTCGTCCAAGAACTTCCCGGCTTTGCCTTTGAAAGGTGGCATGTAGAAGCCATAGTTAAGAGGATCTGTGAGATTCTGTAATGCAAAGGAAAAGATCAGTCGGAAATGAAGAAAAAACACATTCAAAACCATAGAAAAAATACAAAAACATTTACTTTAAACCTCATTAAGATTAAAAATTCCACCATATTTTGATATATATTAATATATGCTAATAGCTAATTTTTAAATTTTATAAACATATAAAAGAAAATCAGTTTCCTTTTTAATATTAAAATTGTTGGAAAAGGTTTTCACAGACTAATTTTGCGACCAGAAACCATATACACGATAAACAATATAAGTGAAATTAAATTGGTGAATCGGGGCCCGCGCTATTTTCCCCTTGCCCTCTCTAGCCACACGTCTTTGCTGAAGCTGATACTTGTGGACTTTGATCAATGTATTTGTTGTAATCTACAAGTTTATCTATACAAATTAGGGAGGTCATGGCCCCCTGCCCCCCTCCCCCACTGTGGTGTGGGCCCTGCGAATACTATATAATATGCAAATGGTACCAAGCAGAAGGGCTTCTAAAGGTTATTATCAGCGGGACAAATCATAGTTTCCAAAACGAAACATTTCATATTGAATGGAAAAAAAACCAACGGCAGAAGCAGGACTCAATTTTTTTCAATGAATGTGCGTTTGTTTTGGTTCTTTCGAATCCATAGCTGTTAAACCTGCTCCCATTTCGAATAGACAAAACGAAAAGAACATCTTTTGCGTATAAACTCTCACAATACAACAAACGTTTTCAATAGAAACAGGATCGACGGTCTGTAGTGTCTCCGTTATCGGTGTTTCAAAGGAACATTTTTTAAAAAAATCAACAGTGCAGTTGCACGAGAAAACTGCTGCAAACGTAATTTAAATTTCACGTGCAATCATTTTAGAATGCAAAATGCGAGCTCCTAATCAATAAACACAGCAGTGCGTACATGAACCGGCACAAAAAGATCGTAAAAACAAAACTGCAGGTACAATAAGAGAATATTTCGATTAAGTCCAGAACGGTTGTTGAGATTCTAACATAAAACTTTAAACTACAACAATGTTGATTGCATCTAGAAGGAATAGCTCTAACAGGTCCCTAGCCAAGACCTTTACTGTAAGGAGTCTTTTCTGCAAAAGGGAAGTCTCTTTTTACCGTGGGGAGTCTCTTCATTTGGCTCTTACAGAGATAGGGCAACTAAAGGTGCATCTAAAGTTGGTCATCCAGAGCATTACCCCCACCCCCCCCCCCCCCCCCCTCACCTAACCAGTTGCCTATGGACATACTTATGATAAGCACAATAGTTGTGTAATAACTGCTTTATTGTTTCATGGCATTGTAGTAGATTTATGCAAAATTCAATAAGGTAGAAATATCTAGGCTAAAATAACTAACGGGAAACATCGCCGCATGACAAAAGCAACATATTTCAAATGAACTCGGTAATATTCGAGCTTCAAAACATCGCAAATACCGCAAATTGAAAATATCGCAAAATACAGTAGCAAAAACAATCAAGGTACAACTGAATAATTTTTAGAAAACCCTGTTTAGAGCTTATACTTTTCTGGCAAGTATTATTGTCCGCTGTAGGGAGTTTGCTTAATATATTACGAACATTATCCTTTGTTATATAGAATGTGTATTACAATTTTAGCTCGTGGATGCTGTAGCACACAATAAACATTTATTTGAGTAAAAAAAAATTGTTTTCCTTTGCTTATTGGCACCCGTTGCGTTACCAAGAAGTGTCATTTAAAGGAAGATTCACCTTATAGAATTTTCCTTTACAATATCAAAAACGATACTCAATTAAATATTATTTTATACTAACCAATGATGAAAACTCCAAGAGGACGGCCTGCTTTGCGGTCCACACTGTGTCATCCACACAAAATTTAAATGTTTTCTGAAATACAAACGATAAGGATTAAAATCGTGTGAAAAGCGTTAAAAGTCAGATATTCAAAGAAAATAGGTTGATATTCCTGTAGAAAAAAAATAAAGTAAAATAAAATCTACACCAGAAGAGTTTAGGCATGGCGGCAACGCTTTCAAAGAAGCAGGTAAGATGACCGTATTCCCGAAGAATGAGGCTAAACAAAGAAAACTGAGGGTAAATTAAAGGAAATTTCCTATGCATCATTTTTCGAATTTCGGGGATTTTCATGCATTACGATGTAAGCTGAAAATCTCACGTTTCTTCTACTCTTGCGATGTGTGTTATCAAATATGTTAAGGCTCAAACGAGGATTTCTAAGGAAAACATATAAAGTTTTCATATAAAAATAAGCGTATTTTGGTACTGCTTGGTATGAAAGAAAATGATTTTTCTTGTGACATTAGTCGTCATTCATTTATGTATGTTTATTCATTTAATCCAGCCTGTTCCGTTGTTTATTTCCTGTTTATCTAAACAGGGTAAAAGTTGTTGATATTCTTCTCAAATCCAAGTATAACGAATTTTTCATGTTATTATTTGTGCGGTAATTTTATTGACGATAAATTACAAATAAATTAGCCCTCATCATTTAGTGGTTTTTTAATGGCTGGGAAAGTTCACCGTTGTTTGAGATAAAGTTTCGCGCGATAGGGGGGAGGGGGGAGGGAGTGTGGGATGCAGAAACATAGGCAACAGTTTATCTACCATTTGAAATATGGATGACGAAACTGGTGAGGAACAGGGGGGATAAGTGCTTCCAACTCTGCAAAAAAAGGCGCAAGAGATTTCCACGGCGTAGGAGATTTCAATAGAGTGATTTGCACGTCATTCGTTCATCTTACTCCGTGATAGAGAGCCATGAAATGTAGGACTTTAATAAAGTACTTTAAAAGAAAAAAATAATGAAATAAGGACCCGACGCAAGACCCAAGTTGACAAGAGACCCGAGACTGTGGTGTCCATGACGTCATTTTTCTTTATTCAGACGCCCTAATGTATCTTATTTAACAATGTTTGTTGTATTTTTAATCGTCTTTATAACATACGGCGCCGTGATTTCAAGCTACAAAGCCCCTTAGTGGATTGGACTTGCAATGACAAAGAGTTCAAACAAAATATCCCCAAAGTCTCAACATTGGTGTCATTTGGGCAATCCCCATGAAATTCAGTGACGGCCTTCCCCAACTTTCAATGACTGGGGCATTCCTGAGACAAAAAGTAAGCCGTAAATGAGCCATTTTATGTAGACTGCCTTATGTGTAGTGCATGGTTTTGCGCACGATTTTACGTCAGAGCCAGCAACAAAAATGCTAAAGAAGCATGACAGTTGTAGCTAATTAGAAACAGTTTACCTCAAGAAGCTCATTGTGGTAAAAGAGACAGAGTCAGCCCCCTCTAATCACCCAAAATAAATCCATTTTAATTTCTTGCTTTGGTTCATTGTGACATTTTTACAGCAGCTTTTTTCATAGCACTTCACCCCTGGTCAGCCTGATTCAAACTTCAACCGGATATATTTTAGTCATTGCAGTTTATTCCAAGCACCTTTCCTATCACATTAAAACCCCAAGAGAATACAGTACTGCCAAATTGATATACAGCCGGATTTCCTTTGACAGTGGATCGGCTTGGCGGTGCCAGACCCTATCAAAGTTTGCTTTATGTAAACAGCTCGCACATGTCCAGTCCAATGACATATTTCCTTCCTACGATTTGGCTGTCTGCAGGGCAATTGAGTACGCTACATGTATTTTAATCATTTTTCTATAAGAAAAATTTATAAGAACTCCGAATTGGTCAGAAGTTAAGAACAAATTAAGAACAAGCTGAGGCTTAGTTACTGTAAAATGCCATTTGGAACAATGTTTCATCTCAAAAACAAGGAGTTTTTTGCCATCTAAAAAAGGTGCTTTTCGGTGAATTTTCAAAGTTTTCGGCAAAAAAAGGATGCTTCACCCACTTTGATGGCAAGCAAAGCCTGAATACCTGCAATTTTACTGCTTATACCCTAATAATTAAGAACAAATTAAGAACAATTCAGCCTGAACTTCAATTTACTGGTAGCAGCCTTTGCTGGTCCAGCCAACGATATGAATGAAAATCTTCACCCCTTTTTTGGAATTCATCAATCATTGGACCAGGACAAGGACACCCTGAGTAAATTATTGCCATTTAATACACGAGCATTAAAGTTTCTGTCTAAAAATTAAGATTTTGATTTAAAGCATTTGGTGTGGGGATTCTGTTGCTTTGCATAAAATTATTAGCTAACTTTTGTCATTTAAAGGTTAAGCATCTGTAAACTTCAGCTAAAGACGAATTAAATAACGACCTGCTTCTGAAAAAGGAGGAAAATTTTCTTTATAGCTTTCATAGAAATGCTAATTTCTTTGATTTTTTAGGGGGGAGTCTTAGTCTGGCAGCTGCTTTCAAGTGAGGAACGGTATTATTCAAGTATTTTCATGAACTTGAGCACTCTTTAACCCTCTGTAGGGGTGCAAAGCCCCTTTGTTGCTTTACTTTTACCTGTTTTTGCTAAGCCCCTTTCTATTCTAAAAATGTGACAAGGCTAAGTCAAAGGGACTCTACATTTTTCGGATTCAAGCGACACTGATTCCCTCCAACAAACACTGATGTCCAACCATGCCATCATACTTACATTGTAAGATACAAACGGGAGCTCCGGGTCACCCCATTGCAAAGTGAGTTTGCACGATCTTCCATCACACTCGACCATTTCGACGTTGATTCACGAATAGACAAAGATCCTGCTGGTGCCTTTATTGCAATCAGAGTCGATTTGCTTTCATCACTAGCGAATTTGATTTGCAGGTGAAACAAAATTGTTTGCATTAACAAACAAATTGCTTGTTCTCTACCAATCTTGGCTGCTAAACCAACAGACTGGCAACATGCTCGATGTAAATACAAGCCTGAATAAACACCAGGCATGTATGTACTGAACCTTGCAACTTCCAACCGTTTAACTAAATGCCTCGCTCCGGTTTGCTTTGTAAAGATAAGGTTATCTCTCGATCAGTTCCTCTACAATTTACGGTCTGTTATAAGGTCTCTATGAAGATAACTTGTTCTGGAACCCAACGTGAGCAGGTTTCTTTTGTGATTACCGCCGCCAAAACAAGAAGCATCGATTCGGCAATTTTAAAGCTCAACTCGATTCATACGGATAGATCCAAGCTTATCCGAGCGTATAAAAACATAAAAAGAAACTGATTACAGCTTTCGTGGCAAAGTTTGATGATATTTCATACAAAACACTTCTCAAATGAGTTCTTGACTGATGTCACAAAAATACGTGTGAGAAAGTTAGGTAAATCCAATAAATCTTCTTCCGCTTGCTTTCAATGCAGTGGAAGGATTCCGACACAAGTACGAGAAACCAGAAGCGAAAAATCTCATCATCCATAAACACTTCCGTAAAAATCAAATCGCATAAATTTGATTGTCGTCCAAGATAACAAAATCGATTGAAACCAACTTTGATGTAGGAATATAATTGCATTCAATAATTTCTGTAACGTTGAGTCACATAATCAGCAGAACAGACTCCCATGTTCATCTCAACTCAAATTCTCAATGCCTTCTGAGAACTTTGTGACTGTCAACAAAGCAGGAAATAGGAAACCAAACGCTCCAAATAACTTCACAAAGCACGAGCAGATTTCAGCTTTCAGCCTACTGATTCAAACGCTTTTGATCCTTGAGTCTCGGCTCTTCTCGTAGTTTTCCCTGCTCTGACACAAGAACAATATGGATTGTTTGTGACAGACAAACACGAACAGGTCATTAACGCTCTGACCTCGATGGCTTTTCACTGCGTCAATTTGTGCGCAAGGTGGGTTAGGAAGGGCGTCTAATTAACGCACGGTGCAGCCTTTGTTTTCAATAAATTAACTTTGACAGGCGGTCACAGAATTAGCACAAAATAAAACAGTTGCCTATGACGTCATGAGTAAACCCTTAAAGGAGGCGAGGATCGATGTACTCCAGATTATAGGGAGGAGACTAAGTCCAAACCAATGAAACTTTCCACTTCCCTGTCCCTTTGCGGAAGATTCTAAATAAAGAGGGAAATTTTATAAAAATTGGAGGAACGCGCACGATGTGTGCCTCACCAAGCACTGGGATTTGACGCTAGACCACGAAAGCGGGGGAATACGTGGGCTTTAGCCCCCCCCCCCCAATAACTTCCAAAATGTGCTTAAACCAAACGAAAAACGCCCTGGTCTCGGTTTTTAGCATGTTTAGCCACCCCCTAAAAACCTTTTAGCACCCTCAATCCGTAAAATGATCCGCCGTCCTTGGAGGACATTCCTTGGTGCTGGAGCTCAGATTTGCAAACAGAGGAAATCTGGGTTTATCCTTATCATAATCAAGCAACAAAAGGTGATTTTTGTCAATAATGCACTGATTTACGGTTGTTTGTTGACCTGGTAATGTCAACCCGTCGGGCAGATGCACTGCCGAAGCAAATTCCATTCTGAATGTCGTGATTGCAAACAATAAAATCAGAATAATATCAAATGAAAACAAGACCAGATTCATGCGACTAGGCTTCGTGCTTTCAATAACGAGGGGCACTAAGGACATGACACTTTGAAAAAAAAACAATGAAAAGGCGAAATATTTTCTTTATCAAAACCGATCATGATCACATGTGTAAAGACTTAAACGAAATTAGCACTTTCTTTATTTTGTTAAGACAAAAGCTGCTATTTTCTTATCATTTCTCAATTCTTTAATGTGATGCCATATTTATCACTTTAGTAAAGCACAGCGGTTGCGAAAATCCTATTGAAAACATTGCAAAACAGCAATGTGATAAGGTAGCAACGGCATTTTTATAATAAAATTTTGCTTATACATTGATTCTTACTGCCTGTTTTCTGTAACTGTTCTCACCAGTGGAAACCTGCGCACCAGACCTCCAGGCAATGTGAATTAGGTGATTTTCGTTTGGGTGGCCAAGAAGGTTCGATTAAAAGAAGAAAAACAATTATACGTATAGGCTCAAGAATTTTTAAGTGGTGATGAAAAATGTAAAAACATCCCACCGCATTTTGGTAAAGGGTTTGCTTCCGGCCTATCCTCTCCCTCCCCGGCCAAGTAATGCCTGTGCTTTAATATTACATGTGATTTTACGAAAAATATTTTCGACTTGTATTGAATGAGTTTCGCTAACACGATAAACACTGTTTTGGGGCTATTTGGAGGCGGAAGTGAAGTTGTTGCGCCCAAAGTTGAATCCAGGAAGATGAAGAAACGTGAATAATTAACGGAGTCGGAAGCGGTTGGAAATTAAGTGTAAAACACTCTTTGTACCACCATAAACGAGCCTCGATGGAATGGAATGACAGTATATGACAGTAGCCAAGAAATGTTCTAGCGATTGCAGCGTGTTACGAAAGGTAGAAAGATGTTGATCTGATTGTGTTTTCCGCCTGTTGTAATACTGTACATTGCAAGTGTGAGAGTAATATCGACAAATTGTTATGATATCAGTAGTAGGCCAGTGAAAGTTTGTTTGGTTTGAGGAAAATGCCTCACTCGAATCGAGTTTGAATCTTGAGCAGAAACCTGATTTTAAAACATAGATCACAAGAAATAACAAGATATTGGCACAATTAGCATATGCATACGTCACTGGGTACCAGGCTCTTTCCGAGATAGAGTTTACGAGACTGTTGATAGATGAAGCTTGAAAATTTAGTTGAGTGAGAAGCTGTATTTTGTCAGTACGAATCTGAAAGTCGTTGCAAAAATTCAAATTCTTGAATTTTAGGTCCATAAAACAATATAGAAAAATAATTGCTTCTGGCTGGGAAAAATTACCAACTTTGGGTCTTGCTGGTTTTTAGTACGTGTATATCGTTTCACTCTTCCCTGCGCCTGGCATTTGCAAATCTTAAGAACCTTGTAACCATGGAGAGTGACAAAGAGCACTTAACTGCCCTGAGATGTAATTTCAGAACAGCTCTCGAGTTTCATCGCTGAAACCAGCATTCCTTGATCTTTTGAAAGGAAAAACAGCAAGCTAAATCCTCTTTTATATTGCTCAATTGCAAGATCAACGGCTGTGAATATTTGGTTTAATATATTATTTGCTTATCCTATTTAGGCACCTCATGTTTGTTGATATGTAAAAATGAGCAGGAGGACTTTGGTCTAGGGGTGACTGAGCTGTGCTACCCGACCCAAAAAGGTGAAATTATTACTTTCAGCGGGTACAAACCACTACCAAAACCCTTTTTTTGGACTCAGGAAAAGGGGCAACACAGCTGGGTGAGGTATTAGTCGGACAGCAACAGGCTGCCAAAAGGTTGGAAATATTTCTTGTGAATTCATTCATTTTGTACTCATTCTTTCTACCAAGATAGCATTTCTTAGACAAGATACATAGTTCTAATAAGTTCAACCTTTTTAATGTTTATAAATGCATAAATGTTTATAAATTTATAGAATCCATACATTAACTTATTGAAGACACATGAATCAGGCAAAACAGCAGAACATTGTTCAATTAACTGAAGAACGTAAGAAACAAATTAAACAGAGCTGGAAACTTTCGCTAAGAAAAGGATTTTGATACGAGACAAGACGGTAAATCAAAAATGATCTGACCCTAGATTTGAGCCATCATAAAAACGAATACAAATCTCCTTTTGTTAAATGGAGGCACAAAAACTCGTGTAAAGAAAATAACCAAAATGAAAACAAATCTTTATGAGATAATTTCCTGGCTCAGTTTTCTTTTAGAAAAGTAAAGTTTACACAAGAATATTTGAGGCTCAGAACTTTTAAATTTAAGGACTATATTAGAAAAAAACTGTATAACGCAAACATTGTTAAATGTATCTATCACAATTTTCCTAACAATTTAAAAACTAAACAATAACTAAACTGATAGAAATACAATAATGAACAATCATCTTGTTTTCCCTTGTGTGTCTTAACTACAAAATACACAGAGCTTCATACATTATTCCGCTTTTCCATTCTGTAGTGTTTCATAGTTACCCAGACCCCCGTGACCCCCGTGAAGTAAGGGTAGAATCGAAGACTTGGGCGAAGAGGAAACGTGGTATTTTGTTTGCCTTCAATCTGAGATCTCATATATAATACACATGCCATAAGAGAAGTTATATTTAACCAAAATTATCTTTTTAGAATAAAGAGGCTCAACAAGTCTTCTTGAAACGTCCGTAGCTGCTAACACAAGACAAGAGGCGGAAATACATGAATGGATCCCAAGTTTAGAACGGCGAGAGAAAAATTATGTTATGCTTGATGTTTTCAGCCGAGAAAGATTTTTATTATGATCATTATTATCATTACTGAAGATAAGAAGCAGACAACATCATATTGATTCTGCGGTATCAATCGCTCAAAAAGAACGACGAGGCAATTAAAATGAAACGCTGTTGGAAACTGCGTAATTAGGCCGCCAAAAATGACATAAATACTACCAGCGTGGCAAATAAAAATAGTTGTCTAACTGCCTCTGTTATCAGCTGTTCAATTTGCGAAAACAGTGTGGTGAGATTGCAAGAATTATTGGTATCATGAGAATAGAAGATATGTGCTAGCAATTAGATAAGTATTCTTCAATTTTCAAAATAACCTGTTCATAGCTCAATTTTAATTCTACGCATTGCTGTGACAGGCTAATGCCAAAACGAGGTTTGGTTAAATTGTTGCTCAAGTTTCACAAAATTTTCCACTCGAATCACTTTTTTGCTTCTTGGTAATTAGAAAATTCCATTATAAATGATAGATGGGCATGTGTACTTATTATTTAATTCTGGAAAGATGAAATAAAAAAGATGAACCGTACATTTATGAGTGGAGAGTGTTCTCAAGAAAACATACTGCTTACGATGAAACCAATGAACCTTCATGGGATCAACTCTTGGACCAAAAACAGAACGAATCAATAAACGATCAAAACAAAACACAAAAATCTATCGGCAATTAATATTTCCTTGAAAATAAAAAAGTAACTTTCAAAAAATTAAGTCACTTAAAAAATAAAAGCCAAAGAAAATAAATAAGAATTTGATCCAACAAGAACATCGTTTTTCTTATACGCAAAAAAATCTTTATTGAGCAAAAATTATTGAGTTATTCAGTTAAAGCATATTGAGTAAAAATCAAGAAAAAATAACAATGGATGTAGAGGGGAAAAACAATTTTCAAGTTATGGCCTGAAAACGTACTCAAACTACGGTGTTATGGACTCCCAATACACTTTGTATAGCCACTTTTAGGTTCAAGTATGAAAAACAGCTAGCAATGTGTAAGAGAGTGAAAAACGGGGAAATCCCTGATACTTTTTAGAAACTGATTTTATAAACACATAAAAGTGGATTTATCAAAAATATTATTAAAAAGCAATTTTTCTGGCTTTTTAATCTTTTTTTACTTGATCGTTTTAGACAAAATCAAAGCAAATAACAAAAATTAAGCGATTGAGTGATAAATATATTGCATTGATGAGGTAATAGCAAAAGAGACTTTCAGAAATGGTCATAAACATGGCAACGTCAACAGCTTTAACGTGGCCACGTGCAGCAAGATTACATATAGACGTTTATACATGCATATCATAAATAAGATGCCTAGTGAACTTTCCTCAAATTGGCAAAGACTTTAAATTAAACTCTTCATTCGTGATTCAAGAGCTAAATCTCCATTTTTCGCAATAAAAATTAACGTTTTTCCACGTGTTTTTCACAATAAACACGAGTCTTTGAAAACACATCAAAAAAGAATTTTCAAAGAAAAACAGAATTATACAAGACAGACTTTCATGAATCATTTTTTGAAACTTAATTTAAGCCCTGTGGCATGGCTTTTGTGTCATACAAACGGACCGACTGATTGGGTTGCAGAGCAATCAAGAAAGAGCCTATAATCATCTGTCGAATGCCTTTTCTACGAAGCGAATTTTCTCAGACTTCTTGGCAGGAAATCATTGACACTGTTGGAGCTGGTTAGCTAAATTATCGCAAATTTGATACAGCTGATAATCGCATCTGCGCTTAAGTAGAAAATTCACACAAAATTTTATTCTTGAATACTTTCATATCTGTATGATGTTGACGATTGGTGATAATGAAGTTTTCGATTTTAATGCGGTTGATCATGATCGATAAAGATAAAAATAGGAATTATGATGACAAAAATGATCATAATGATGATTATGATTATGATGATGGCAAAAAGTTGAAATTGTAAAAGCAACTTACGGAAGGTTTTCTCTCGTAGACTATCACAACTTTTACATCACGGTATTCTGTCTGATCGGTCTCCATCTTTAACTGATTTTGTGTTCTCATGCTACATCATTCCTGAAAAAAAGCAAACAGTTGTTAAAATCGGTTCAAATTTGAATGATTCTGTTGCACATGTTGTTTTTATAAAGTATACTACAATCTGCAAGAGAAAAATGTCAAAACGTTTACTTAGCATTGGAATGTTAAGATCGATAAACGTGTATATAAAAAACAAACATACAAGAACCTCCACCAGTGATGTTTGAGATTCGTGGAAGCGAAAACATGAAACAACAAATCGTCAACAGCAATATCAGACGCAAAGAAAATCTAAATAAATAGTTCGCAACACTGATGCACCTTGTACGGCATGATGTAAAAAAGTGATCTTTGAAATATTGTTGCTAACGACGTTTAAATGATACCTGTTCGTCAAAGTAATAAAATAAGGTGTGGAACGTATTGTAACATCGGTCTTAATTACTTGACACGAGTCAAGATTCCCTTGTCTAAAACTGAAAAGAAAGCCACTTCGCGATAATTAATCAATCCAGGCTGCACTTTCAATATTTAGTGCGTCAAGAGAGGCAACCAGCGCCGAATAATAATTTTTCATAATTCGTTTCTTAGATTTAGGCAACTTAATCATACAATGGCACGACACATGTCCGTTTTGTCTGCGCCAAAAATTACTTCCTTACATATTGCCTGGCAAATTACTTCAGGCTAGCAAAAATAGGGGGCCAAGGCTAGCAAAAGTAGGAGGCCAAGGTTTTTCCCCTTTTACTGCAGCTTTAAACTATTTGCTTCGCAAAAAAATGGGGGCATGGCCCCTTTATTTCAGTGGTTCTAATCTCATATTGACCAAGGATATTAATCAGTTCAATTTTTTCTTTGTCACATGGGTATATAACGAATTCGCTGAAGTGTCGTATGTATAAATCTATTTGGGTTGTCTAGCAGGTTGCAAAAAGCTAAATAATTGACTACTCGACTTGGTTTAGTTACTTTCACGTGAAACAAATAGAAAAAAAACCCGAATATAAACCTTTCTTGCACCATTAAAAGATAAAGTGAAGATGGAGTCAACAACAAATTGGAATATACTTTTCAGCGCATTTTCTTACCGAATGCTACTCCAATACAAAGACTTTCAATTGAACCAGAATACAGACGAGAGCATGCCAAAGCTCTTAGCGGTGTAAAAACAGTCTGGAGCCAGTGAATTGATTATGGCTGACATTAAATTTATATGGAATTGTCAGGAACACCTGGATTAGCATTCTCCATAGAAATTTAGTTGAGTTAATATATAAATTGTAGTCCTGAATGTAAGCTAGTCATTCGAAGTATTCTACCCCGGGGGCGAGTCGCGTGGGAAACTGGTTTCTTTGTAACATGAACTTGAGGACTGGGTCGAGAGGAGATGAATTACGTAATCCATGCAAGAAATTGGGGAACAAAGGAATGACATCAAACCATTTGAAACCTGGTATACAAACTGAACCGCAAGATAAGCCTTTGATTCGAACTTTCCTTTTACTTCTCTACTTTACTGCCGATATTTGAATCATAGAATACCAGCCAAAAGTTGTTGGAACACCCAACAATTCTCGCTGTTTTTTTATATTTTTCAATTCTTTTCCCGAACACTTCTACTTCCGCACCTCTTCCCCCAAAACAATATTGATAGTGCAGACAATATCTACCCTGTGTACCAGAGATAGTCTGGTACCCAAAGTAGACAATATCGCACAAGCTACAGAAAAAAACGAGGGGCATTTCACTCCACAAAATCTCGACGCCTCGTACAAAAGTTTCGTGCAAAAATCTTTAGATAATTCATTTTGTTTACGAGAAAAATCATCTAAAAGTTCCAAAAAATCCTACTGTTCTAAAAAAATATTTTCGTTGTTTGGAAAGAGTTATGTACCCCCTCGGAAGAAATTCACCGAAATCCAGAAATTCATGTACCCCCTTCAAAGGGGAGAGGGGATGGCTGAATTCTGCCTTAAAAACTGTCGTTAGTGTACAAAGACTTTTGGCAGCATTGCAGTGTACAAACTCTTAGCTGCCAATTATATCAAGCAAGCTTTAATGGCTGCACAACAATTTAACTTTCTCCATCATTTGGACACAACATAAGGTTTTTCGTGAAATCAAGGTAGCATAAAGAAAAAACAAATAATCTTATTGAACTGAAAAGCCACATCCTTGTGTTTGCTAAAAAAGTTTCTTGTTTAAAGAAGCGCATTCAGAGCGTGTGAACTGTCCGGAGTTACTAAGGGCAACAAAGATGACGAATAACATGGCCATTCTTAAAATTTTTATGACGTCATAAGGATTTGTTCATGATACACAGCCAGGATTGAAGCAGACTTGAACACTGAAATAATTGTTTCTTTACGCCGTGGAAGAAAAAAATGTCTATTTCACAATGCCACAAAACCTTCAAAGTTTGGAGATGTTTTATGATTATAACAATTTTCTATGAATGTAATAAGAACCTTTACATTGTTTTCGAAATGGAAATGCTGTTACAAAACGTGGTTCATGCTGTTACAAAACAGTGTATTTATTACGCGAGTAGACGCATTTTAAAGGTGGTTTAGATGAAGAAATCTAAAAATGTGTTCTGTATGGAAAGGCTGCGAGGGGTGGCAGAGCGCCTACTAAAAAATTCCAAGAGGGTGTTTCCAGCTACCAAGTCCACAACATAGATAGCATATATATGTCTAGCACTGTCGTCTTGTACAAAACACACCTTAGATCTGGGAAGTGCTCAATTCCAGTACTCATTTGGTGTTTTCTGATGTTGCAGCAAACCCAGCGCCTGTTCCTATATACAACCTAGTTGCTTTGTTCAAATCGGTTCAAATAACATGTACAATATGAACTATGTTATACTATAATGGAAGAAACTTGTCAGCGGTGAGTCACAAACACACTTTAAGATGGAGAAAATTCTTCTTTATACACGTTGTTGATAATTTTCTAGCAGTGAAGCTTAAATTCTTTAACAATGTTTGGCGTTCCTCGGTTTTCTGGTCAGTATCCAGAGTATCCTGCATGTTTTAGTATACTCGTACACTGTAAATCATGTCAACACTTGGAGCGAACTTTTGGGGTTTGAATCCTGCCAAACTAAAATTTTTTTAAAGAACTACAAGTGCAAATACTGGAGACAAGTCTTCTGAAATAGAAGTAAATTTGATACGATATGCTAAAATGTGCTAGATGCTTGGAAAATAACAATTGCATAGATCTATACTTAGAGGCAGGAGCAGAAATTATGGGAACATTTAGGGGCCTCGATTGCTTTGTCCAAAAGTATGGGTTTTCAACCCCATTATATACTTTTAGGTCTGTCATTCTGATACCTTTCCCCTGCACATGAAGAAGTTAATTTCAGCTGCCACTTAGAGGCATTTTTTGTTTAATCTTCATAAAATTTTACAACCAAAAATTGAGGATATCTTTACCAGACTCATTCTGTGCCTAAGCTGAAAATATAGCGACTTATGTATTGCTACGGTAGAAGGTATCTTGAAGTTCAGTGTCTTGGTGTGTGGTGATGACTTCGTAGGGGCAGCTGAATAAGGACCAGTCGCCCTGAAATAAAACGCCCTTAAAAACAAGCTCGCACGAAAGACTACAGCAGCAGAGTTCGGTTTCTGCACGTCAGTCTTTCACAGGCCTATCACATCGACCTTATCACAAACACTCAGGCTTATCAAATAGATATAAAAGCTTTTTATAAACCGGATACAAAGAATGAGTCGTGCTTCAGTGTCTCTACAGATAACAGTTACAAGATAAAAAGATTTTGGCTGTACTGACAATTTAAAAACTGCGAAATACATTGTTTTAGTATAAAAAAACATGTTTTTATCATTTCACCATCTTTCTTAAAGCATCAACCAAACGGAGGATATACAGCAAGTGCCCTTTTTGAAACTGGACCTCTTTCCAAAGGAAGCGATCGCCTTTAACGCCAACTTGTGGGGGGGTCCTTTCAAAGAACATGTATTCGGTGGAAGCACCTCCTCCCCCCTCCCCATGTGTAAAAAGGAAATTTCATATTTTACGGTATAATTTACATAAGAAATAAAGTTGGTTCAAGTTTGGTTCAGCGTTGGTGTTACTAGATATAATAATTTAGCTTGACCTGCTATTTAGCACACTACAGAGAAACGTAGTAAAGCTTTTGGTTAATAATTGGGCCAAAACATGGTTAACAGGCAAATTTAACTCGGAGTTATCTCTCTTTCAGAAAGAATTATTTATGTATTAGAAGAAGCTAGCTAGACTAGCCCGCTATTAACGCTGCGCCGAACCTCTGCACACATAAGCCTCGGAAAGACATGAAACGGGAGCCTCAAGCGCAAAATGAACGACCACAATCAGGGGGTAACGAGGCAGGAAATTCAACTAAGGATTCTAAGAATGTTGCTTTAGCTGGTTTTGTTGGGGTATGATCCAAGGGGCCTAAGGCCTGATAAAAGAAAGGAAGAAAGGGCTAAGAAAATAGGGAGGTGATCTTGAGTTTTGTTTACTTAAGTTTTGACAGGTTATAAGAATCTGGGAAGCAAAAGAGACGGATTGAAGTAACGTAGCCACTCACACCCCCCCCCCCTATGACAATCCCTAGGTAGGGGGGCGCCTGTGTGTTAAATAAAGCCATAGCTATGGAATAAGTAGTATACCAACGTAAAAATCAGATAATGCAAATGGCAATAACGCGTTTAGGTTTAATCACTAGAATGTGATAATCACAGACAGAGAAACAGTTTTAAAGCAAACAACAACAAATTTTAAAAGAATCAAACAGTGCATAATGTAATACATCAGCTGAGCTGAGCCAAACACTAATCTAGGAAAAATGACAAGCTTGCATAGAAAATCCAAATAAGAATTACTGTTTCAGCACAAAGGACACGACAAAGTAAAAATAAACTAACCATTACTTTACCAGGTATGTTACTGTCAAACAAAGACTATGGAACCAGGAACTACTTTCAAGACAGGCTCTAACACGCTATAAACCCACAATTTTACGAGAAAAAATTACATAA